CGGTTCGAGTTCTCGCTGCCGCCTGGACCACTGGAAACCGAAAACCTGCCCCTGCTCGATGATTGTCAGCTCTCCGTCCAAACCGCCGTTCGCTACACAGAGTTCGGAGTTAGAACGGTGTTCGCACCGCTCTGCACGTAGAGGATGCGTAGGACTGACCATTAGTCCCTGCGCGGGACGGGAGGACTAGCAGTGTTGGAGACAGGAGACTAGAAAAGACTTGCTGGGTCTTCAGACCCAAACCTCCTGGTGCTGCAGGTATCACAGCATGCTGCCCGAAAGACAGAGCCGTGCAGGGAGATCGCAGGGGGACTCTGTCATGTAAAACTCGCCGTGTTCTCAAATGCTAGAAAATTTTGTCGTTCAGGGTTCAGACCGATATCCCCGTTGATTTCTGGGATTTCTCCAGGGATGCCCGAGTCCCAAAGTTCTTACCCGAATTCCTGAATATCTGACAAATTGTTACTTGACTCATTTATCTCCCATTATGGAATCTTTTGAGAGATGGTTTTACTCACGTGTGCCATCTGCTGATGGATTAGGATGTGTAGGCTGAGAGCCACTGTCCTCTTCTTTGTCTGCTTCAGTAGCCACGGCAGAAATATATATAGCTTGCATGTAGCTTTTTTTCTTTTTTTTTTTAAATGCAGTTAATCCATATCATTCAGACAGGGAACTCCAGGCTAAATTGGCTGCAGTTTGTCATTGCAAACAGGAGTAAAAACAAAAAAAATAGGTCAGTATTTATTCCTTGATCCTCCACAACTTCTGTAGGTCTGGGGGAGAAGAGCCAGTTCTGTCTTTATGGAGCAAAGGAAAGGTTATGTCATATTTTGTTATGTAGGTAGCTTTGTAGGGTAGTGAAACCAAGCCATATTTTTCTGTGTTAGGTACTGTGCAAACGGTGTTTTCATCTGTTGACACTCATGATATTTTTACTCTGGCGAATTTAGCCTCTGCCTGCCTTATGCCAGTGGTACAGCGGTAGTTGGAGCATCTAAGAGCAGCATCTAAGACCAGCGCTTGCAGTGAAAACACTTTGTTCTAGGGAACTGTTTCCCCGCAGCCTCAGGCATTTCTACTAGAGCAGATCTGAGGGGTTTGTAAATATGATGGCTGTATAAAAATCACGCGGTTAAAATCACGCTTTCCTTGTGCTTATTCAAGACGTTAAGCTTGTGCCTGCTAGCGTGGAAGACCTAGCGTCCATTTCCTGGTGCAGGTAGATTTTTAGTACTTGGAAGATCTAGTTTTTTTCCTAATCATATGGTGTTGAGGAGATGTTGCTTTTCTGTAGCAAAAATGATGTTATTAAATCATGCTAGGACTACCAGTTTCCTACTGTTCAGCAAATGCTTTATAGCTGTGAATTAATATGGACTACTGCTAAGTTTTGTATTTACACACTGCTTAAGACTTTATAGTAAGTAATGAAGAGTCAGATCAAGCTAAACTACAGGCAAGAAACTAAGGGATCAAATAAACCTCGTGGTGCAGTCTCCTGGCTTTTCTTTTGGACTGAAATGTGTATAAAGGTGCTGAGCCCCGGCCGCTGCTGCCACAGAAAGGGAGAGGGAAGGGGAAGACGAGCCGTGCTGATGGCCAGTCATTTCTCATTTGGCAAGGGCTGGCTAAGACACGAGTCCTCTAATTCCTGCTCGTGGAAGTGGGAACTGAGTAGGAGAAATAGAAATCTAGCAGGCAAGAACTTAACTTCATTTTTAAAGGCATGTGTGGGTTTTCATCTGTGTCTGCTGCCTAACACAGGCTCTGTGACTTGTTATGCAGAACCTGACCTGCCCCAACGGAACCCATCATAACAGCACCGGGCATAACAGCACGCTGGACTGTGTTGAAGGCTTGGGAATGACACCTGCACAATACAATTTGCTGTACGCGATCTATGCTTGGACGTAAGTCACTTTTCTCCTCTTTGGGGGGTGGGGTAGTTTGCTAGTTGCTATCCAGCAGCAAGACACAAATGTTTCTGCTCTTGTTTTCTCCTAGAAACGCAGTAGTGGTTATTCTGGCTGGATTCCTGATTGATAAACTAGGAAATCGCTGTAAGTTCTGAGGATCGATTAATTTATTCTTGTACTGAAGTGGGATTTCAGGCTGTTCTTTCAGTGCAAAGGGATGATCAAAGGTTCCACTTCAGTGAGATCCCGGAGGGATGGGACAGGAGGGACAGCTCTGTGTGCGGAGTGCGTGACGGTTAGTTGAGCCGCTCCATGAAGGCACCTGAGCCGTTTTCATCCTTTGACCACTGACTTATCTGAATTTACACAGCAGCGCAGTAAACGTGCATTCCTCTGACGTGCACGTAACAGGGAATAGTGGTACCTGTTTTCGATGGGACAAACTGATAGTGTTCTGTTCCCTTATCTGACATTTGTTCTGGTGCGTGCCATCATTTAAGACCCAGCAGTCCCAGCAAATGCAGTTATGCAGGGAAATATCTTACAGATGAGGAGACAGAGGCACAGAGAAAGAGACCGCTGGCTGTAGGCTATAGTCTGTGGTGGAGCTCAGGACAGGAACAGGGACCCTATAGAGTTCAGAGTCCTCTATCTGACGACTTATTCTGCCTCTCTGACCTTCCACCATGATAATATCACCATTATTTTGAGGATTCCCAGGTCATTTTATAAAGAGACCAGTCTTTACAAAATTAAAATGAGGGTAAACTGATGGAAGCCCACAGGTTTACTGGCATGTTTTGAGGTTGCTCTTTTGCTTTTTGACAAAGAATGCTTTTGTCCTGATCTCAGCATGTCTGCTGAGGTTTGTGTATTTTTTTCTGTTTCTCCCTAGTTGGTGTCTTTGTTTTCTCTTTTCTGACTGTGCTGGGATCATCAATCTTCGCTCTAGGCTCACATTTCAAGGGGTCGCCATACCTCCTACCAATGATGCTGACAGGAAGACTGCTCTTCGGCTCTGGGAATGGGTCACTCACAAGTAAGGAGTTCACATTCTTAATTACGCCTCACCAGAGCGTCATGATACATTTTTATTTTGCCTCCTAGATCCTTGTCCAACCAGTCAGCTGGAACCTGCGTTGCTAAGAGAAGAACACTGCTCCTTGAAGGGTTGCATGGATTTAATGTGTGCCAAAATGTTTGAAAGTCTTCCCCTCTAACAAGTTTGTCCTTCTCCCAAGGGTGGGGACTGACGTGTGATTGCTGTGCCTTTGGGGTTATTTTTGCTTGCCTTATTTGAGGGATAAGTTCACCTCCCATGTCCCAGCATGATTTAGTACGTTTTAAAATGGACTGCGA